CTCCATTAACGATGACACATTTCCACGACATGGTGAAAAACGCGGCGTTCAAATGCAACGTTGTTCCCTTTCTAAGTGCGAGTTGCAAAAAGTAGGTCTCTGGCAGAGACATTGTCATTGAAAATATTATACGCAGTGAATGGAAAAAAAAAGCTAAAGCTGGGGATTTGCAAGCGTGAATCCTTTGAGCATACAACAAAGAAAGGGAAAGAAAAATGAAGCATGAAAAGGAAAAGAAATAGAATAGATCGACTAAACAGTAGTTGAACCCTTTTTGCATATTGTCTTTTTTCTTATACTAATTTATAGTCCGTCCGATAAATCGGTCGTGCGCCGCGAATAAAATTTGCCATCGCGTGGTGCGTCAACCTCTCTCTATTCCCATTCCACTGCTAATAAAAAAGTAACGCGTACATCGTTAGAGATTTATCGTTCGCGAATGTGAAATGGTAAACGATAAATTCATATTGTCGACGCAAGAGCGTTATTCGAATGAAATGTTACTATTGGCTATTAATGCGAGTTACGTAATTTTTCAAACACACGAAAGAAACGTAATTACGATACGTATACGGCAATTACGTGAATGGAAGATCAATTGCAAGCGAAAGATTTGAAACACGTAGATGCGTAATATCTATTCCGAGTACTAAACCACGCAATATTTTCATTTCTGTTTTCGTCGTCTTTTCAATAACGTGTCGTTGCTCTGCGAAGTCTTTCATTCGGTTTCCCACCAGGGAGATTCCTCGATGCTGCTATTGTTACATGTACGTGCTCTTTGTCGCGAAAAGCAGCAGGAATTCGCACTTTCATGATCACGAATAAATTAACGTCGGCGCACGCCTACGCAAATTCAAGGCAGTGTTCCCTAAGAAAATATACTCGCGACCGTTCCCATTCTTTTCACTTTCATTTTTATAATAACTCGAAAAGCACACGTAATCAAAAGTATCGTGAAAGCATTCCTTTATTAGTCTCGTTTCCCTCGACTTATTTGGATTTCGAGGTGACCCGAATAACCTGTATGACCCCAGCCGTTTTAAAAATACACACCTTAAACATACGTATACATATGCCATAGCTATGATTTTATCCATCGACGATCCACGTACATATGCTCTTACGTACTTGTCTGTTTATGATATCTTGTCGTCGATCTTTCACGAGATTGATCGTTTCCGATAATAAACACCGAAGCAAATACCTCTCTACGACGCGAGACGATATCTTGCAAGTGCAGTTCTAAAGATACGACTCGGCGACGTTTTTCGTTTCGTATCAGTTCGACCTATTTTTATCGTGAATGCACCAATGGCGAATAAATAAAGTTGCAGCTCTCGAACTGTAGTCACCTTGCAATAAATAACGTGGCAACGTAAATTCTTGTTACATTTAAATTTGATCCGTGTAATCTCTAGTACTGCAAATCCTCCGAGATTTCTCTATTAATCTTGTCCCGGTTTTCTACGCTGTTTTCCCATCAATTCGAACGAAATCAATAAAAAAGAACTGACTACCTATCCGCCGAGTGTGCCCGGTGATTTAGTGCATTCATGAAAACGTTGTAATCTAAAGAACAAAGAGAAATATGCATCCTATGAAATTTTTATACCAATCCAATCGACCTCGAATCAAATTTCTAGAGTGTTATATGCGCGATCATTAACTCGACAAATGCAAGCTGGCATCCTGACCATTCGATACACGCTTGAACCCGTCACTATCAACATTATCATAAATCAAATATTTCGTAAGTTATTACCTGTCTGGTAGACTGACAAGCAAAGGAAGATCTAGGTGGAACTTCGCCCCGAGATCGTTCCTGTCAGCCCAACGTATGCACGAGAACCTACGTTCTCGTAGCACCTCGTAGCTACATCGCTGGCCGGGTGAGCGAGAGGAGAGTCGAGTTGCGTGGTTGTGATGGTAGAGCGTTGGTGGAGGATACGAGGATGAGAAGGGGTGGAAGAGCCAGTAGTAGGGGCGGTAGAACCGGAGGCACTAGGGGTCGGTAGTGGTGGTTGAAGAAGGGAATGACCCCGTGTACCGGGGTCAACCGTTGCACTATGCTCTCTCTCTCTCTCTTTCCCTCTCTTTCTTTCTCTTCTTCTGGTCGTCTTTCTCTTTATTCTCTCTTGCCCTCTCACCTTCCACCCTCCAACATACCCCTTCACCCGCTGCCTCGACCCTCTCGCTGTTCCGTAGTCATAGACGAACGTTCATGCACTTTGTTATCAGTGTATACCGACTGCACACTGCCGAAGGAACGTTACCACCTGAATACATCTACGCGGTCTGTACACGTGCGTCTACGTGCCTAGATGAACAGGAAGACTTGAAAACCCTGGCGATATTTATGACCAGATATAGGACAAAGATAAAAGAAGCATCGAGAATCGCTTCTCGTTATTCGCTGGTCAATGCGTCTTTAACGTTTGGTCTGCATGGTTATTGGAAGGATTGCCGGAAATCCTCTCGCTCGCAGCTACCCTGGTTTACACATTGATTTTTTCTACGTGAAACAATTGGAAATCGTAACTTGCGATTCGTACAGGCGGATCCGATTATGAATACAGAGGATCAGTTCGCGTTATATCTCATAGGACATACTGCATTTCTACATATGCATATACGTCTGAGACGATACGTTAAAGGATATCAATGGCGGTCACTGATCGAGGACTGACTCTACCCAGAAGTAAAACCTCGAGTAACTCTTCTCTTGGTCGTTTATACTACTCGGTTAAGTCGTTCAATACTCCGATCATACGAGGCCGTATACAAAAGTCAGAATGGAAAGAAAATCCTGGATGCCGATTTGATGCACTTATATGTATCGGAAACTGGAATTCCCCCTTATATTCAAATCGGGATAAGGATATGGATGAGATGTAGTCCTTAAAACTGAGAATTTGAAATATCAGAAGATGGAGTAATACAAAGCTAATATAAGTATAATTTAACGAAAATCGATTTAATGTGAGAAATCCTCGGTAGAAAACCATCGAAATCGAATGATGAAAAGATCAAACACAAATCAGGTTCGTTTAATTAATTAGATGATTAACTTCATGTAAGAATCACGGATAAATCAGTATCTATCAAAGCTACAGAAAAATCGGAGAGTAAGCTCGCTGCTTCATATACCAATCCAATTATCACATCGTCTTTTAACCCTAACCTTAGCTCTCTCTATTCTCATCCTTGAATGGTTTTCCAATAAAAAGGACACCCCTCTCACTTTGTATGAACGCTCGTTTTACGAAATGTAATTTTTAACTTTAGTCGTTTTAGCAATTGCCGCACGAAAAACTCCGTGTGTAATACGAAGTTCGGAAATGATTTGCTCGGTTCAAAAGCATGGGATAAAAATAGTTACGGTAATATGGGAAAATAGCTTGCACATATTAAAAATTATACGTAGCTTTGTCTCCTTGCGTTGAATTTAATTTGCGTTAAATATTTTTTGTAACTATAAAATCTTTTTATTCGTTGAAAATATATGCACCTAAATACGTAAATTGTACGAAAAATATATTTTAAACTGGAATTTGCTCGAGAAACTCAACCGACCATATAAGCAGATAACAAAAAGATACAAGTTACGATGCCGAATAAAATATGAGTAAAAATACTAGAAGTTTTTAACTATAAATATCTCTTATGCGTAGTTATACGTTTCTATAAATTATACAGATGTTCCAATTGCTTTTGCTCACTTGCTTTCCACGAAGATTATCCAACGTACTTATAGCGACTGCTTTATCTAGAATTACTCATCTCTAAAGGATTACTCGTACGACATGTTAAACTTCTATGTTCGTATTAAGCGCTTCAATTCAAAGTGTAATAACAAATTTAACAGTGTAGCGGCGATAGACGTTATTTCGTAATTTTTATAATTTCCTTATATTAATATCTACGCGTTTAAGAACGAAACGGCAACTTAACCCAGTTACGTAATTAAATTAAAATCGCGAGACATTTCGTTGCATATTCTATACGCGGAAAATAGAATGTGAACTTGTAAATTGCATATCAAAGACTTTAAACGCAAAACGAAGAAAACCATTAAGTAATTAAGAAAGTAGGTTGAATAACAAATATTCGTTTGTTGTTTTTATGTATAGCTTATCTTTTATATTTCTTGTACTTGCGACGATTTAAGAAACAACGTACAGTCAGTGAAATAATATTTCCTCTCATTCCTGTGATTTTTGCACATTCGATAGAAATAAATACGCCGTGTTTACCTTTTCATGCTTAAAGCATTGTTTACTATGCCTCAAATATGGAACGTATGAGGAAATGTCCTTAATTACTTGCGTAATGAATAACTTTAATAACGACTATTAATCAACACATTCGTTTCCATCGTATTTAATATTCTCGGAACGAGTCTTGGAAATTTCTTCCCCGCCTTACTTCGTGCTTCAAGTATTTCTCCATTTCTACAAGTTTGCTTAGAAGCATTTGCTCTTCTCGAGCAGTTTATTCGAAAATAAGAAAAAAGTTTCAAATCTGATGCAGCCATCGTTGCAAGACTGTTCTAACCTTACTTTATCGTCAGTTCTACAACTCTATTTCACGTTCATCCGGAGAATTTCGGGTAAACCGCTTTAAAATAAAACAAGCCACTTAAGTGAAACGACATTTGCAGAGAAGCGATTACAACAATTTCCTATTATGCAAAAACTCGAATAAAATAAACGAGACGACTGAAAGTCAAATTTTCTAAAATAAACTAAAATAAACGACTAATCGTGTGAATGTATAAAGATTAGAGAGAAATAAAAAATACATAAAATAAAGCATTGTAATAATCGAAAGCGATTTCGATAAGATGGAAAGTGTCGCGATGGCGAAACGATAAAACGAAATATTTTCTAGTAACGGTCGTCATCTTAAACCGGTGCGGCGCGGTGCGGCGCGTGTAGTGAAATACACGAGACAAAAAGAAAAGAAGAAAAAAAGATATAAAAGTAGAAAAGACTCACCCGTGACGCTGAGCAGCGACATATTCGAAGATGTTCTTGGTAGATCGGCTTAACGCTGAGAGTTTCGCTTAATTGGTCGAGCGACACTTCATGTGGCGTGGAGATCCGTAGGAAAGAGATTGCAGCTATATAACGAGACACGCCGGATCGAAGGAGCACACTCGCGTATACGACGTACTTACGACCCCCTTTCCGCAGCGATATTACTATTTTCTTTTTTTCTTTTCCGCACTGTGCGCCTGTACCCACGTATAACGTGTGAATACGAGAAAAACACTCGCGTGTGTTTATACGTGCATATATACTCGTATATATAAGTATATGTGTATATAATACGTATGCATATATATGTAAATATTACAGAGAGAGAAAGAGAGAAAAAGAGATAAAGAAAGAGGCGGAAGAGGGAGACAGATAGATAGACAGAGAAAGATACAATATGTATATGTGTGTCGCGATATGGCGCTACACGAATCGAAATTTCAGGGCAGGAGTACGAATGCAACGGGCAGTCCGATATCACACTTCTGCCGTTCCTTTGTTCTATATTTCCTTTGTATATTTACTATTCTTTTTTTCTCTCATTCGTATATGGCACTACGTATTCACAGTCGTGTCCTTTCTCGTAACGAGTTTTTCTCTTTCGTACCCGGCACGCGTGCATCAAAACAACAATGAGGTTATCGTGGTTCTTCTACGATATCCCGGCGAGACTGTCGCGCAACGTTCCGTTCTCGTCGATCGTACACTGTACACGAATGCCGGCGAAAATTTCCACGTACTTGAAGGCTCGAAACTACGACCAGCAAGGAGTCCACAAAATTTATAACCTGAATCTGTTACGTACGCGCACTCTGCTCGTCGATTCGACTGTCACTGAAATCCACAAGGAATACACACGAGAGATCACGCGCGTATATATAACAATGTATGTACGTACTTCGTTCTCTTACTTTTCATTCGAATTCCCCTATTTTTACGTGAGTATCTCAGAAGCTCGGTCTGCTTAATTATTAGAACTGCGATTTAATGTGTATGTTTTTGCGTTCAGCGTATACTGTGTCTGCACGAGGGTCGTTTCGTTCCAGTCGTAACCGTTATACCACGCCGGTATTCTATGAATCGCACTCGCGATTACCATCGACACGGCGTAACAGCGAGTGGCTGTTGGTCACGCGGAAAATCGTGCTCGCCCGTTCCGGCGATTAAGGCGGTTACTGTTCACGTTCGCGAGCACTCTTACTTCCTCGTCGTTTGTCGAACTGGCCACGTTTTCCGTTTCCTGTTCACCGTATTCCTCCTGTTCGTCCTGTTGCTCGTTCAACTCCTTTGATTGGATTTTGGTCGATGCTACTAACAATAAGTCGAAGCACTTTGGTACTGGCGGTTCGTCGATTCTTGCGAGTAACGATAGCAAGTAGTTGTCCTCGTGTTTGTCGGTGAGCGTGCGGCGATCTGAGTTTAACAAGGAGGCGGCGATCACAGCACGAGGATAGTAGTAGTATTCGTAGTACGGGAACGGCAACGGCAGCGCCAACGCGACGCAGCTGCTGGTCCTGTGCAGGTCGGTGGCCTCGGTGTCGGTGTCGGTGTCGGTGTCGGTGTCGGTGTCGGTGTCGGTGTCGGTGTCGGTGTCGGTGTCGGTGTCGGTGTCGGTGTCGGTGTCGGTGTCGGTGTCGGTGTCGGTGTCGGTGTCGGTGTCGGTGTCGGTGTCGGTGTCGGTGTCGGTGTCGGTGTCGGTGTCGGTGTCGGTGTCGGTGTCGGTGTCGGTGTCGGTGTCGGTGTCGGTGTCGGTGTCGGTGTCGGTGTCGGTGTCGGTGTCGGTGTCGGTGTCGGTGTCGGTGTCGGTGTCGGTGTCGGTGTCGGTGTCGGTGTCGGTGTCGGTGTCGGTGTCGGTGTCGGTGTCGGTGTCGGTGTCGGTGTCGGTGTCGGTGTCGGTGTCGGTGTCGGTGTCGGTGTCGGTGTCGGTGTCGGTGTCGGTGTCGGTGTCGGTGTCGGTGTCGGTGTCGGTGTCGGTGTCGGTGTCGGTGTCGGTGTCGGTGTCGGTGTCGGTCCTGTGCAGGTCGGTGGCCACGGTGTCGGTGTCGGTGTCGGTGTCGGTGTCGATGTTGTCATCTACCACCCGGCCGGAATGAGGCAGCATCGCCGTGGCACCGCGGGGTGCTTGCTCGAACCGCTTTTGTGCACCGTAGGTTCGGCCGAGCGCCTCTCGCTTCAGGAGGAGCGCCCACCGTGCCACCTTTCTCGTTATTATCATAGTAGCAAGGGCTGCAGTGCATGCGCCGGTTTGCACGTATACCGTGCTCGTCAAGGAACCGTAGACCAACGACAAGCGTCACGTCCTCCTTGTCGTCGAGAGGCACGACCGGTTATCACGGGCATTTCACAACGATCACAGAGGAAAACGGGACGGATAGAGGGAACACGGATCGGAAATCAAAGAAACCAGATATACGCTCGTATGTGTATATATATATATGTGTGTGTGTATGTATGTATGTATGTGCGTATGAAAGTAGAATTTAGCAAGGAATCGGCGAACAGAAGGTGAGAAGAAACGAGAGGGACGTAGAACAAGAGGAAAAGAGAAAAGAGAGAGAGAGGGAGAAACGGAGGGAAAAAAGGGAAGAGGAAGTGTAAAGGATATGGAGGGGATGAATAGCACGCACCACGAGCAAAATTAACAAGAATTATTGCGAACGGGACCAATTGAGTTCACACTGCTCTCTCTATGTTTTCGTCGTGCTAGCACTGTTCGCGACGTCTCGTCGTCGCACGTTATTTCTCTAATTGTTGATGATATTACGATATGAAACACGAGATTGAACCGTGACCACGGACGTGTGCGATGCTCCGGGTGCACTACCACATTAATGCGGTGAAACGTTGTTACGAACGTACGCGGACTGCTCGACGTCGAGCACTGTGCGGACGGAGACGCCTCCGACACGCCGCCGCCATCTTGCTACGTCAAGCAGGTTACATAGCGCCGGCGTCGTATCGTCGGAGTCACACGAACGTCACCGACCTTCGACGATCGTTTCGGCGAGCAACCACGAATCAGCCACCCCTTTCGACTGCTCTCGCGGAACTGTCGTGCATTTTGCTTCGATTGTTTGCCTCATTTCTAATTCGACGTTTCTGTCGACGATTGCACGCTCAATCGACGTCCAGTCAACTTGTTTCACAAATCTTTCAGGATGCTTCTTTTAACACTGCGATTAATCATACACGATCTGTTTTACCGTTTTCTGTTTTCTCTTTATTTGATTCTTGTCTTTTTTATATCGTTTGTACGATACAATACGCAATCGCACATAACGCGCTGTTAATTATTGCGATAGATATCGTGTCAGATAGAGTGTAAACGTTTTTCGTGTGTAGAAATCACCACGTGGTACGCTCTATCAGAAATTGATTAAGCAGGATACAAGTACGAACTAGAAGTCTTTAATTGATTCCTTTACTGTTCATTCAAGTGTCTCGTTTATTCTCGCATTCGAATATATCATCATTTCTTTACTATATTTAGCCATGAACTAAAAATTCGCGAAAGTGACTATTCCTTTTTATTATTTCTATATTTTTCATTAATTTATGACTGTTCTACATTGAATGTTTATAATCATTAGAATTTCAGTCAGTAAGTAAATGTCAACTAGAAATATAAGCTTTTATATATTATAAGGAAAATATTATTTTGACAGGAACGATGTTTTGACATATTTCTACCGTATAGTCGATAAATCACGAAACTGTTAACATCGTAAGTTTCAAATATTTCGAACCTACACATTTTAGGCAGAAAATTGGTTCATTGCAATGGTTGCATGTAAAGTGTTATTGCTCGCGTGAGAAGCGACTGTAATATAACGTTGAACGAGCTGGAGGACACGCAATGTCTAGAATTTGTTCTTCTGAATCACCTGAAATATAACAATATAATAGTCGACTGTCCAAAGACATGATGCGATGGCAGTACAAAATATTTTATACATAACGTTCGACAATCATTTTTTCAATCACCGGTTATTACTTTTTGATTTTTTCGCGGAATCTGTATCACTTGTTATTTACAGACAAAGTTAAACCAAGCTACGATGTGGAAGTATCAATAACGGGTTCATTACTCCCAAGCTAGCATCAAATGCTGACTTGTACCACTGGGAAATCGTTTCCCTTGTTCTGCGGTAATACTACTTGCTCTGGTCTGTATTGCTCTTTGCAGCAATACATCAGTAGTTACTGACGTCTCTGACCATGTATTTCATGAAACTACTCTACTTTATTTCATTGCATGTATTAATTAATTAAAATTTAAACTGTTATTTCACTAAATAAATTTATACGCACATTCTCTTCTACCACGTGGCGGAAAATAAGAATGTTCCAATTATTAGTTAGACGAACGTATCCCAATTCAGCGAATAACAGAAACTTATTGACTTCTAAATTTTCTCTACCGTACGTTCCAATTTATTCCGTAATTCGTATAATTCTGCGTCTATAGACAATAATCAGCCGACCGAATATAAATCGTACAAATATATCAAAAGTTATGTAACGGTCATGTTGGACCGCGTGGCTTGAACGGAGAAATATATTTCTGAAAAGTAGTCGGTATTCGGTCGAAGAAAAGCGGAACTTTTGTGGCTTGCTTTCAATACGTCGTGTTGGTGGTCGTCTTACTCATTTCAGGCATCACACGAAGACCATTTTCTCGGATCTTTTCTCCACTCCGGCCCGACATCTGATCATTCGCCCACGTTTGTCCCATCTTAAGTGTCAGAATGACGTAATATACAAACTCCTCCCTCTTGTGCTCCGATTGCCACTTGAAAATATCTCATCTCTATCTATTTTTACCTTGCGTCATCCCCTATGCTATGGACGTTATACGTAGAGCATTACAAACGTCGCACGTAGGTACGCAAGATGTCGTTTTAATTTAAATCAACTTTGTACGAGTACAAGCTATTATTGAGTTTTCTGGCACAATATGATCACTTAGGAAAGGATAACACGATACTTGTATCAGAGTGCAATATTAAGGACGTACGATATTTCTTCTTATTTAGTAAAATATTATATACTCTGAATGAAATACGAATAAAATTGCCAATCGAGGTGAAAATTTATCGTGGAACTTGTGTATGACGCTATAACAAATTATAGGTAGGACATTATACAAAGAAATTCATTAATATTCGAAGCATGTTCCAAGTGGTATTCCGCAAGATTGGAACTTGCGATAGAAACCACACTTCGTTCATTTTCTTCATCCAACTTGACGAAACTTTTGCCAACGAAGTTTCTTCTGCTGATTTCCCTGGATCCTATTGTGATACGCTCCTCTTTATCCGAATGGACTATTCGAATTGTTATAGTTGTATTTAGTAATTTGACTGTTAATGGTTCCGTGTCATGTTCAATAATTCTTGAAGTAGAAATGCTTTGTTGTTCGAATGACCGATGGAAAAATTTGTTTCGTTTGATTGAAAATATCGAAAACTTTTAAATGCCATCGCAACAGAATTCAGGAATGATTGAAATCATTTGTTTAAAGGCATATAGGTACTGAAAACATATCTGCAACGATTGGATCTAAATGTCCATACACACAAATATCTGTACATGAACTTCGCAGTACGCGTTTTATCCGATAACACTGATAACGGAAATGTCCATGTATATTAGTAAATTTAAATATATCGAATTCACAACGCTGATTTGATAATGATTTTTAAAGAAACAAAGCAGGTTTAAGAAAATATCCATCGAAAAGGCAATCACAAGAATTCTAATATAGAAATCTGATTAAAAGTTGTTGTTAAAATTATTATACGTATGTTTTACAGCCTAAGAGAAATACGAAAAAATGACTAAGCCAAATATAACGTATACCTGTTTTATAACTGGTGCTAGAAAAAACTAGGAAACATTGAAGTAGCGGATCCGGAAGGATTTTGTGAGGTTTAAAGATTCGCCACAATACGCATTAACATATTCATACGCTAAATCCAATTCCACTTGCTTCAAAAAATAAACCATCGAGAGTAACTCTGGCCTTCCTGGACCACGTCCAACCATCTAACACACACAAATCCTCTCTGACCTATACAGAATTGCTAACACAATTCCAAATACATACCGTGGCACCAGGAAACATCTAAAGTCGCTAGAATCTATTTCATCCTAATTGAAACATCTCATGTATACACCGAACCCTTATAAGTAATCTTAGATACGTCCAAATTCTACATACATAGCAATCATCGATGATCTGATATTCGGATAACAACGGTTAAGAACTGATATCTGTATAATATTTGATACAATGAGATTAACAAAGTCAAATTATGGAAATGATACTACGAATATGCTGTTATTATGATCCTGTATTATTTCATAGCGAACGAATCTAATCTTTCACGTCGCACTATGTACTATGATTTCAAACGTCTTCTTACGAATCCTGAGCATCTAGAATTCTAGATTTCGTAGCTTGTTATATCGCTTACCGTTAAAATCCAGTTTCTCGATCCAGAAGTAGTTAGAAGAGATAGGATAGCTTCTATAAGTCACTGATACCGTATTTTGTTCCGTACGTATTTCGAAGCCTTCGATATTGAGTTTAACGACCTTAAGGTTTCTCGGTATCGCGTGTATCTTGATTTTCTCGGCTGCACAGTGTACATTCCATAAGGATCGCGTTTAAGATATTTCTGAAAGTTAATTAAATTTCAGTTTCCCGATATCTTTTTGAAAGTTTGAAACCTACTAAATTACGTTAACTCTGTGCAGATCCTAGAAATTCATAGATCGCTAGCTATTTGAATGACATTGATAACATTAACCTGTGTTTCAGGACCAAATTTTGCGTAGAAACATTTCTACATACATAAAAAAACCTTTAACGTTTAGAAATATTTATAGAAAAATTTCAAATGCTCGTATCAAACACCTACTGATTTTTACGTTATTCTTGTACATTTAACTCCCATAATTTACCAATATAATTTACCAATTTACCAATTTTGTTTTTTGAAAGAAATAACAACCTACTGTTCTTGTATGCAACATCTAACTGTTAATTAATGCTATTTCTATATATAACTACGATTAATACTGCGAAATATATGTAACACGTTGTTAACGTTTTAACTTGCAATGTATTAACTAATCTACTTGGATAAGCAACTAAGGAACGCAAAATGTGCTAGTGGTTGCAAGCGTATTGATTAGCCGAGCAGCTAGTTTCGTTAATGTAGACACGAAGAGAACGCCAATACCAAAATTCTATGTTACACATTACCCATTAATTGTACATCTATTACATTCCGTTACTATATTCCTAGATATCTGTGTGAGTGAGAGAACCAGTCACTAACTATGACGTCTATCCATCATTGATCGACACTGGATTACCCGCTACAGAATGAAAGCAATTTAATGCTTGTACATATAAAAATATCTTTGACCTTTCGAAGAGTAAAATTTATTAAAACGAGTCTATGTACCGAGTAGCTTTCTGAATAAAAATATGCGTGTGAAAAATTACTTGGTGTTTCGCGATTTATGTAGAAAATAGTTTGATAATGTAATCAGTCTGAATTAGTATCTTCATAAAAATTATAGGAAAGTAATAAAATAACGTTTAAATGATATTGCGAATAAATAAGATTGAAATAATATTTCTGTAATATTATGGAAAAATTGAAATAGATGAATTGATACACTATCTTTTGTAATCTCTTTCGTCATATCGTTAATATCGATATGATATCTCTTATAATTTTTTGATACGAACGTTGTTGATAAATTACTTTCTCACGAATATTCGAATATTAACACTCAACAACGTAAAAGATAATTGCTTAAATTATATGGAATATATTAAAATGGAACATAGGTTTATTATGTTTGACTAGTTAATTCGGTAAATGCATCACTGCACATACGTCATGATTTCGGGAGGAAACTTCATGTACGTTAATTATACATAACTGTCTCTAAGCTCATCCTAGGGTAAATACAGTACAAATACGTGGGTAACTGGGAATGTAGGTATGCACCACATTCTATACGTACATATATGTATGTACTACGATACAAGGGTACGAAGTAACGAGATAACTTTGTAACAATAACGAAAAGTATGTATGTGCGCAGCGTAACGCAAAACGAACAAACTGCACGTTGCAGAAGTGTAGTCAGAAAATCACCTTTGTTCGACAAAATACAAAATTACATATTTCTCAGTCACTGCAGTTCGTGATAAATGCAACATAAACTAGAGTGACAGCATTATACCTGCGTAAAGGTTAGCAAATTTTAATCGATCTGATCGATTAAAAAATAAGATCGTCAATTATATTACAATAAGACGTAATATCAATAAAATTGATATACTGTAAATTATTTTACTCCGAGTTAACTATCGTAGTGCCATTTCTATCTTTAAGCGTAGAAATAAATAATCGTTTCGTTTCGAGTTGCAAAAAGTTATAAGCTGTGGTATCAATTTCGATGCAATTACTTGAGTAACCTATCGAATACTCTTATGTACAGATGAACAGTAAAAACAGATTAAGAGGGCGAAATACATGAAGTACTTCTCTTCTCCTAGTACTCTCCATTACCAAAATTTGTCTCTACCGTATTTAGCGTCGATATTCATAAAAATACATTTATGAAAAATTTTTACCATTATTCAAACGTACACTTCGTATATCTCAATGAATATATCTTCTATTAACAATAAATTGGTAATAAAATGCATTTAGCAAAAATACGTTGACATTAAAATCTCTATAAATAAACATAATAAAAATGTCTTTCTTCGTATATTTTATAAAATGAGAAAGAAAAATAAATTTTCAATCATTAAAGTGTATTGAAAATTTACTACAAATTCTAATTAAATTATCGACATATTGTCGATAATGTAGTTTCCATAGCTTTTAACCTCACCATTGACTAAGCACAGGATATTAGGACGTCACATTAAATGAGATTACACGTCTCATATTCTGAAATACCGACGTCGAAAAAACCAGAATGCTCCTCTCGCCCTCTACAATTTATAACATCGCGTCGATTGTAATTAGTTCGTTCGAACGCGCTCGGTATATTCAAACGAAACTTTGGTTAGTGCTTGATTAAATATACTTCTGGTCACTGAATTTATTTATCTGAACGTGAATTACTATTGCATAAACAAGAACTCGTAAGCAGTAAGGACATAAGGGTAATTATTTACAAAGCGGACAACTTCGCCGGTTTCAATAACCTTAAAATATATTGTCAAGGTCAATATCCTGAATAACCTTTTTTACATGTTACGTCTCTCGACTGTACTTTCTGAGATATTCGCAAATGTTTCTATTACAGTATATTATTCAGTATAAATTTGGTAATCGAACAATCGCTTTTTTCAATATCATGATTAAAATGCTCTGAACTTCGAATAACGATAATATAATATAGAGCTTAACATACAAATTGACCAAGACTAACTAAACTTTTGTTTGAATTAATGAATCACGTTCAAACGGAATAATTACAATCGTCGCGCCGCGGTGTTATAAATAGAACACTCTGATCATTTCCGTGGTCGGTATTTCAGAACGCGAGACACGATATCCTATAGTACTCTCATTTAATATCGCGTCTAATCTGTACTTAATCAATGGATATGGTCACAGACAAGAACCAATCGATACTGTCATGTGCGATATTATCCTCATCTAAATACTATCGGTAAATAGTAAGAAAATAAAATAAACAACGTGTATAAATGTTAACATGTTTAAAGGGGCCACGGAGGAAATTTAGAAAAATTAATATTGTTAAAATTATTCGTAATTTTAATGTCATATTATTAACAATTTATAGAATTATCTCGCTATTTAAACAATTTCTTTTCATAAACATTATTATTACATTTATCATATACAAAATGCATCACATTTATGAATTGCAAACGAAACAATTTACAATAGCTTCTTTCCTATTCTTTAATTCTCTGGATCGATAATAACTTTCCGTATTTCTTTTACATAATTCTTTATCTATAAAGTTTATGAAATTCAAATGAACGTTCTAGTTCTAAGCTAATTTTTTAAACAATCTTACTACACCGTCGATTGTTGTTAAAACGATATAACATGGAGGTTATTGAGCTTCTAACCATCACAGTTGATACGATGAATTGCATGTATGTCATCGACAAGAGCGCAGACTCGAGGAGGGCGCGAACGTCTCGGTCAGAAAAGTGAGAGACCACGGGACTAAACGGAACGAAACGGTGTTGCTAAATATACTACGCGGAGGCACGCGATTCTCTTTACGGCTGGGGACTGCAGGATGGTCATCAACATCCGAAGCCACACACATTATCTTCGGTAGTGATTTTGTTGTCCTTGTTTCGTTGGTAGGTTTCTCGGTAGTGGAAAATCGCACACGTAGACAAAGTGAGTCGTGGCGTATCAAACGTATTGAGATACCGACCGGTCTCGAAAGAAATCTCTTGTTAGTTTTGTGATTCCTCGGGGGTGAAGATTTCTCGAGGACGGTTCTATATGTGTTTAGGTGTTCTGCCGATGCCGTCTTGTGGTAACCGGCTGTATTACAGGTAAATTAGATAAATTTGAATTTTTTGGATAATTCGTAATTCTTATCGATACAGTAGGTGACTTAGAATTACTCGTTATATTAATAATGATGTTCCAAATGATCTCGTTATTGAATGTATAGTGATGGTGATGGTGATAGAAGGTGTGATTGCGCAAGTAGTTGTTTTTTTTCATATGGGAAGTGATAACTTTATGTGATTATTAGACTGCGGCTGTTTATGCATTTATAGAAAGTTTAAACGTATAAAAATATACAGGATGCTCGTAATATGCAAAAATCTATAACTATAATAAGATATATAAATATATATAATGAAATAAAAATATAATATTCGAAGAAAGTGAAACAAATTTCTTTTTAAACGTCTGTTTCTTGAAACAAGCTTCCATTACTTTAATTATTGGTATCCATGAAGATACGATAAGTTTACATATACATGCACAGTTTAACAATAGTTGATAAACGGTTTGCGTTTTCGATTGTTGCATTGTTTGTACAACATCGTAGTAGCAGCTGCAATACAAAATTATCTTCGATTTATTTGTAACTGCTATTACGTGTTCATAGAAGATGAACATAAAAGTCTTGCACGTGTATAAATATTTATTTTGTAATTAGTTCGTTACAAACTAAATTAGCACAGAATCGACGTGACTGTTGTCTCTTATTCTTAGAACTACGTTAACAAACAGGGAAAGCATAAACGTTCAAATTAACGTATCGTTTAAAGATACTACTTGACCAATTGTATCACCGAATTTCACCAGATCAAATTCGATAGATTTTTTCCCTATTTCACAATTAGTTCACTATTATTTAACTCTATTCACTAACAGTGTTTGCATGTGTGCAATAACTCCAATAATTAGACATATTCTTTTTCCTCAAATCGATAAGAATTTATAAATATATTTTCACGACTTTTAATTTTTAAGTAATTTTATTTTATTATCTCCAGAAATTACTCGTTGCACTTAGTTTATATTACACGTAAAAGATCGTGCTTTTTATATGTAACAACCAGGTCAGGTGATGTTTGTGCAAATTCATATTTTTTACGAACTAAATAAAAAACGCAAAATCCAAATAGAGATTCGTTTCATTCTAAAATATTATCATTAAACTGCGAATTTTTATGCATATTCATTTGTTTACTAAGACAATCGTACCAGAGATTTATTTCTGAGTCTACTAAATATTATAACTATTACACTAAATTATTATATTATGCATTTTTATATATTACGTGCATTACGTGCATTTTTAAACCTTGAAATTTTTTCATTCATAAATACTCGTAATCTAACGGTAACAAACGTTTCGGTAATCCCTTTTGTCGTAGTGAAGTCAAGGTCCGCTTGAGTTCGTTAGAATCGCGATTTTTTCATCGCATTGTAAGAACTATATTAAGGCGAACTCTGGCAAAATACCACGGCAATATATTTCCACGTAACGATCTATTATGACGATAATTACAACGTAATTTCGACATTTCTTATATCTTTCCATATTACGTGTATTTAAGCACATTTTTACAAATTTATCATAAATGCATAATGTCCAGTAATGACCACGGCCATATTGTAATTTTTGTACGATAAACAAACTTGGTTTGAACTGAACAAGCGCTGTAATATGACGTAAGAACCGGCTTGAAAGAGCGTGACAACGAAACAATGACGAATCCCGAGAATCGTTTGGACAGCCCTTCTCAACGATCCCGTTTAATGGATTAGGGGAAGAAATCGTAGCTCGGCGAACGCGTGCTTCATAGAATTTTTCGATCAATAGTCGACGCACTTTGCCAGTCGGCGCGCCGCGTGCTTCGTAAATATGACGACCGAGGTTTGCGTTTCGTTCGAGAGTATTATGTGTCATATACTTACCAGTGTGCAACTCGCACTTACACTCGCGAATACGTCCACGTAAAGATCGTATTTCATCGTAGAACGCGCAGCTGTAATTTCGTTCGTTAATCTGCGTTGGGCAGCAACTCAAGCGAACAAAAATGCCACTTGGCATTTTTTTTTTTATTTCCAACGTGCTTATGTAATGGTTTTAACTGGACGATAGGAGAGTACTCTTTAAACAGGATGGAATTAAGACGGGAATAAAATCGTGATGTATGAAATTGCGAATGAAAAGAAAAGGAAAGAGAAATGAGAAATAAGACAGAAATAAACCCGAAGCGTTTCGATGTTTTATCGAAAGAACGATCTGATATGTGTATATTCACCTGCTGTTCGGCGTCGAAGATAGTTTGAGAATATAAAACAAATTAGATTTTTCTACATTCGACAGACATGAATATCCAGAAGCCTGAGGGTCTTTTGTCGGTGGTTTTACCAATTGAACTTGCGTCATCGCCGAGTTCGCGGCAGCTCATTATAAGTCAGGACCAACAGGTGTGTTCGACGCAAATAACGTAGCTTTATTCTTTCGTTCTTCTGTTTCTTTGTGTTTTCTCACGCTACATGTATATATATTTAGCTACGTTTAATAGCATGTGGTTTTCTAGACTCCTTTAACTCGCTAGATTAACATCTAAGATATAAGGTCTGGCTATTAAAATAGACACTCTGCAATTACAAGTAATTTGTACTTAACGCTTCAGTTAATCTCGGTAAGATAAGTTCACGTGCTTTGTTTTAAAAAATGTGTACGATATTTATATCGTAGTGTGATGATCTTTTATTTTAATCTTTGTTTTGTAGATGATAGGTATACGCTTAGATACCGACATTGATTTCAGATAAGCGATAGGAGTGACAAACGAGTAGTACATATCGAGTTCCAACGTAGAATATTAATTGTTTTAAATTACATTAAAAGTCATATTTACAAGTAGTTATATGCGAAATATTTTTCGTTTAATTAACAAATTCTTTATTTGCTTGAAATTCAAGCAACATTCGAGTAAGTATTTGCTTCTAAACAAGCTTAACTTTTTCATGAACAACGTTAACTTTGTGTGCACATAAGACTAAAAAATAATAAAGTGCGACTGGGCAAGGGATAAATCCTGAAAATACGATTGCAGTAATATTTGTTGAATATACCTGACGATAATACCAGAGAATATAATAGAAACAGTGACTGATCTGATGAGTAATACGCTATATTCGTTTGTGTAATCCATAAGATGATTCTTATTGATAGATACCATCTTCCTTTAGTTGTGGCGTATCAGACCTACGATAATATTATTACGAGCTTACCGTTTGTTCGTGGAGATGATTCCAGAAATCATGTATGTTGGCCCAGCCTAATTTAGGAAGTACAGCGTATACGATTTATGAAGAATAAATTTGAAAACCATACTGAACAAAGATCATAACAAGATATTACGTTCTACGGCAATTGGAATTGTATTTAATTGAAATTAAAATTAATCTTGAAAATTACATTTAAAATTAAAAAAGTAATATAGAGAAGTGTAACTTAAGAAGCGAGTAATATTTAGCGATAGAACTTCTCTGGAAAGTTTGGTAAATATAATGGAATTTGTGGCATTCTTCAATGATGGAAGAGAGAGAGAGAGAGGGAGAGAGAGAGAAAGGAAGTTTTTTTAATCAATTAAATTTACTAATACGATAACATAATAATACAAATATTATTAATAGCATTCGTAATTACAATACGATGAAATTCATATATGTGTATATAATTACTATAATAATATAAAAAATATTATAATAGAGTCATCGATCCATCCATTTCACTGTACAACAATAACATGCATTTAAAAATTATAAAATTACTTGTAGGCAAATATATTTAATGTGGTGTGCAAAAATCCTACTTAAACATACATACGCATGATTCGATTCGTACATATACTTTTATCGCTCATCTGGTTCATTGTTTTACCTTTTGAAATGCAGCAAATCTATGTTGCTATTTTGTTTAGAAGAAATACGGTTGTTTCGCTATTTTATCTTTCAAACGATGTTATTTAAATGGTAAAAATAATCTGTGAGGAAATCTGTTGGAAAGAAAAATGACATAACGCATATCGAACGCTTGTGATTTTACCAGGAAGAAGAGGCGTCGGATTGTCCGCTTTTAACTCCTAGCCCACCGGCCACTCAACCAAACAATGCCTTGGAAATCAACACCATTTTCGCTTCCTCGGAAGGAAAACCCGTGGAATCGATTCCTCCACCAACGCTTGAAAATATTAATAAGGAGGATGGGCTTAACGAGTTCATGAATATAGTGAACAGCTCGAGTAGAGTACTGAACGATGGTAGGTTTCTGTTGGTAATTGGCATATTTTCCGTGTAATCGTGCAATTAACAATATCAATCGCATGTGTTTCGTGTTTTACTATGATATTATCTGTATCGAGTCGTAATCTGTCGTATCTTAAGACTAGAATCAATTCGGGAATTTTTGACCGTTTTGGTTGTGTCCGTTTTGTGATAGACAATTTGTTAAACAAACGTTAAACATGATCTAATTCAATTATACGTAATAATTAATTTTTATTGGTAATTAACGAAGTATTTCTTTTATCAAAGTATTGAATGTACTATGAATGTGTTATGAATGTATTATAAATATACTATGGATGTAATTATATAAAAAATGAATAATTAGTCGCTTTGCATATAATTTTCTATATCTAATATCTAATTTTTTATTACGAAGAGCTTTAAATGGTTAGGATGAAAGTTTATCTTAATATAGCGTATAAGTGAAATTTTTTTTCCCTTTTAACATAAAGCAAAATCTATAGATAATCTTAACGTCATAATCTATTAAAAGATACACTTATGGCTTTTTGTACGCGTAATATTTGAACAAGTACATGAGAAGCCATCGAGTAACAAAGTCCAAGGACCAATATAGTTAATGAGAGGGAAGAAAGAAAGATCAGTCGTAATTCATTCGAAGTTCCAATGTCTACGGTAAATTAACGCTATTAATTTTTTTTTTATTTATTAAAATTTACAATCAATTCTCGCATTGAGAATTTTCAGTAATTTTTCTGGCGTGGCGCAGTGGCATGGCTAATTATTTATAATAAGTTAATACTTATTATAGATAAGTATAATTTGTAAGTAAGTATTATAAATAAGTAAATATTACTTAATTTAAATAACTAATTGAATTTAACGCTAAATGAAAAGAATAAAATTACAAAATTGCAATTTTATTTCCTTTCGTATTCGAACAGGATTATTTCTATAAAGAAACAATTAACATGTAACGTTGTGTATTATACTTAAATCGCATGACTACAATCATTGAAATAATACTGTCTTAAGCATTTTACGATTAATTTAGGCACAGTAAACGTCTAATGCTCGAATCGATAAAAAATAATATATCACGATCGAAATTAATAAAATTGAAAGTACTTTGATAAATGAAAAACTTAGCTTTTAGTATTTGAAGTAGTATTGGAGTAAAATGCTAGTGTCAGAGAGGAATAAAAATAGACTGATAAAACCAACGCATTCTGTCTTACCGAACTCAATATTCAAAAAATCGTTAGAAAGCACGTGGGTGGTAGATATTTTGGTTATGAAGTTCAGGCCTAGAATTTCTAATTTCGAACAGACTTCGTACAAGAATTGCGTTTGCTTCGTTTTCCAAAGTTTGAACCCTAATTTGTCGATCTGATGGATTTGATTTATTTCTCTCAACAATCACTAAATAATATTACCGCTTTCTGAAAAATCTAGGCAGCTTTCCATGTCACTTTGATTTGTATACCCATTTCTTATGTCTGTGCATTTTTCATTCTGCTGGTTGTTTCAAGTCGATCTTTACAGAATTATACGGATAATTTATCGATTTTTCAAGTCCGTTCTGTTTGTTTGTGATAGTTAATGTAATAAAATCGCTTATGCCATTTAATAACTTTGAACAGAGTATCCAGTTTAATCAAAGATACGCGGCCTTCTTTGAACGTTTTTATGGTTTCAGAAATATTGTCGGAGATTAGATATAGCAATTTCTACGAAATAAATGCGCATTATACGTCGTATATCGTGTACGTTTAATTCGTCGAAATATCTTTTAAGTACATATATTTATTCCTCGCTGTAGTTTAAAAAAAGATGATCTTCGTCTCAACGTTCCCCGCCAATTAGGGTTGATGATGATGTTTCTGTCTTTTTAATTTCTACACGGTAATACTATTATCATGGAAAGATCAAGTTACGTTAAGAAAATTATAATTCTCGCCTCTTGTCGCTTTTTTCACTATAAATACTCTAATCAACCGTTTACAACGTAATATCGTCCAATTACTCGGTACCAGAAAAGTCCAATGAAAAATATTAGAAATTTTAAGCAAATATATGTTTTGTTCTTTGGCTTCTTAATATATTCGCAGCTTTTGTTCTTGCCAGTAAGAACATACGATTATTTCGAACAAAATTAACGTTCACTTTTATCCACATAGAGTCACGATTTTATATTACTTCACTTTTATTATTTTCATCTCACTGTAATTATCAACTATGTAGTAATATATTTAACTACACACTATTCGTCGGTAGCTGTTTCGTCGAAGAACAAATTTCGTTCGATTCTCGTAAAAAGAAGAAAACACTTGCACTTTGCACTAGAAGCAAAAATCACGAATCTTATGCTACCCGACTATGGAGAAAGGCAATATGTTTTAAATGGTGAATTTCTGGCAAATCGATATATCCTTTACAGTTTCAGCCGTCGACACTTCAAAACCAGCGATTCTCGATATTTTATACTTCACGTACTTTCTGCATACTTGTACAAGAATGGCATAGATAGATAGAACTATAGTCACAGGGAACAATGGGAATAAAATAAAACATCAAACACTACTCCTATGTATATACGCATTAAATTACGCCTGTTTAAATCACATACATTCGTAAATAGAAAAATAATATAAACATTTAAGAAATCTTATAAAATTATAAAAGGTTTAATAAGCAGCTAATACAACGATTGCAACGTACTTTCAAAACATTTCCCGCGTGTCTCTGGTTGAAAACCTGTCTTAAACGATACTACTTGACAATATATATATATATATATATATATATATATCGATTTCTTTGTATCAATTACGTCACTAATTTTTTCTGACGCAATACAATATTACACCTTGGCCACGTCTTTGCACTATCAGGACGCACATCGTTCACGACTAGTGAAACGTAGAAAATACTCGTTTCACGCTTTCCCGCGGTTACCGTCTAGTGAAATTGAACAAAATCATTGCCGGCTCTCCCCTATCAAGCAACGCGAAACGCGTAAGTACTTAGATGCTTGTCACTCTCGAGGATCTTATATAATGGCCCCGTTGATATACACGGCACTTAAGCCGACGATAAAATGTCTTTAACGGGATCCGGTTTCAATTGAAGCGATAAATTAATCGTAACGAAGTCTGGCCGTAACAATAGCCGAGAATCGACGCGTGCTTTGACGTCGATTCTGTCTGGTCGATGAACAGCGATCGTTGATGACTGGATCATCTCAGACAATTACGAAACTCAAAGCCGCGAAGCTTTTCAATTTCGATACGCGATCCAAGTGAAGCGCGCGCGATCGGTCGACGGAAGACAATTTTTTTTTTTTTTTTTGAACATCGTGAATCAATTGCAGAACCAAGTTCGCGGGATCCGATGGTGGAATCGACGACCAGCGGAAGCAGCAGCGACACAAACGAACCCGTTTGTGCACAGCTATTGACGCAATTGAACACAGCCTATCAACATCTTGCACCCGATGCTCAAGCACTGGTAAGCAGCGTTTTATGGAAATTTACTTATTCATGAAATCTTTTTGCAGCGTTGAGAGACAGTGTATCGCGAGATGAACTTGACAGAACAGATACAGCGCGTTCGTGAAAAAGCGTAGGCGTTGTTATTCTTGTCCAATTGTCCAGAGTCTAGACGTTACGTGTCTGTAACACCTAAAATGGATATTTACATACGGTGTATACGTGCCTTTCAGTGAATTAGAAATTGTTTATTTAAGAAATTATATTATTATCGTAATATCGTTATTTACTTAAAGAATCATACTATCGATATCGTTGTTTACATTTACGAAGATGTATTAATAGTATTGTTTAAGTTTAAGAATAGATGTTGGAACATCTTTGCACAATTTCAGGTTTGATTTTGTCAAATTTGATACTGTATACGAGTGTTAGTACGATATACTTATTTCGCTATGTTTGTTCTATCAGCGATACCACTGTTGACATACATATAATACGTACAATAATTATCTACGATATTTTCTTTTTCTTTCTAACTCTCTGTTAGTTCGGCGAATACCTTTCTTTCATATCAGTACGTGCTTTAATAATTGTTCTCGATTTATGAAAAAGTATTTCATAACAGCTATATTGGTGTATTATATGATATTTATATTTTCGAATTTCCATTGACGGCAAGCAAGTTCGTTACGTGAAAGGATTTATTGAAGTACCTCGTGTATCGCTCGGTACACGGAAAGATGAACGTGATGAAATGCAACGTCGAGCCAGCAGAGAGTTAATTATATTACCGCAATACATATACGTTGCGACCGACTGTGTACTCTTACGCTTTTTGCATATTTATGGATTGCACAGTGTAATAAATCGTTATGTTTCTTTACATCCTCACTGTGAATAATTTGGATAGCGTAAGTGCGTTATCTAATAAAAAATCCTCGATAAAAATCGTGCGAAATCATCGTTACTGGCTTATTGTCATTTGTAAGGTCCACGTAATAACGTCTAACAGGAGAATTGCGTACGATTGTTCGTCATTTGGTAACTTTTATGACTTTGTTTATTCGCTTTTGTGCAATGCACGCTTTGTTTTGGCCACGGCCGATCACCTGTTCTATCTGTGTTCTAATTATGCCAAGTTCAATTTCATATGCGCGTCTCGTACTTTTATTTTATTTTTGGTACACGTCGCTGTATTTGTCTTCACCTCACCGGCTCGTAATTAAACACTCTTTCATTCATCGATTGCAACTTCTGTTCCATTCACCATACAAATATTATTAGAAGATCAATAATTTTTGATCGTCGTATCGTATATCAATAGAGATCGTGAGATTATCATGAGATCATGGGATTACCAGTGGGTTGTTATACATATGAATTGATAAAGAAATTTCAAGATATCTTAATATCGCATGTTATAATAAAAAGATTCTAATAGCTGTCACATTTATCCCTCAAAATCCAATTTGTTATGTATATATATATATGTGTGTGTGAAGATTTACAAGAGTCTTTAAATATTCATTCTTTGTATGAGCAACTGTCTTGTGAATGACAAATACGAAAGTTTGCTTTGTATGAAATATGTATGCGGTTTTTCTATTTTTTCTTTAAACGAGGCACATAAAAAATGTATAAGAGTATCGCAGAATATTACATAGAAAATTTGTCTTTCTCATTTGAAATTTTTCATGGATTTTGATTCTCCTTATGCATGCTAAGCTTCCTAAACTAATCAACTGCGCATTTTAAAATAATCGTTCGCCTCTCGTTATATGCACACATAAACACATTTTTTGTTTAACTAACCGAGTACCGTTACCATAAGGATTACTTTAAAAGCTTAAGAATTCTAAGTGCTCCACTATGTTACGTAGTATCTTCTACGTAGTATCATTTCTAGTCGCGCCACTATTTTATTTATCAAAAGTTTAATTTTCATAATACAACGAAATACCCAGTCGAGAAAAAGATTATTGAAGGACAACGATACGAATGAATAAATAAAGGAGAAACTGTGATACACGTAAAAAAGGTGTAAATTTTGAACCTTACTAAATTGTTTGGCTTCCGCGGTAGGATTATGATTATGGATACCATAAGCGACAGAGTGTATAGTTGGTGAAAACGATACCGTAAGCCCTTTAATGAACTTTTAAGCGATGTGGAAATTGACACTCTTCTTTACTGAATGGTCGATATCGAGCGTCTCGCGCAAAAGGGAAATTAACCTATTTAGGTCTTTTTCATTCAAGCTCACCCTTCTATGTGTATCTTCTTTTCACGCTTCATTTAATCGAATATTTATACGGTGTTTATAACAATAGTATACCTGGTTTATTGACTTATTCTTTTTATAGAATCCTCTATGGTTCTTATGAAATTGTTATAGAACCATTTATGACGTTGTAAGAATTTATAGGCAAGCGGAAAATCTACCGTGAAAATGAAAAATAACGCACTCTCCAGGTGTTGCATAAAGCATTTAGATTATGTAATTTCTCAGAAAATATCGTATATTTAACCACTGTCGCTGGTCGCTGGTCGCTTGATCCGCGTTTATATATCAGAGTATCGCAAATATTAAAAAATATTGTCTTTAAAAAAGAACTTTGTCAGGATTTCGTACATGACGGATTTTGCTATAATTTCGTACTAATTGAAATTCTAGTTATCAGATAATTTCATATTTTCTCTTTGAATATTGACGTGCAAGTTTTGTATTCGGCATACTTTGGTCAATTTGGCACATAAAAACACTGGTTTGCCAAACGTTGTTAACGCAATATGTTTGTCGCAATATGTCCATTTGCGTTCGATAAATCTTTACTACGGAAAAAGAAAGTGTATATCGTATGAAAAATACGTACGATATCTCTATAGATGTATGTCGACGCGTAATAATTCAGCCCGATGCTAGCAAAATTCTAAGATTCCATCGATTAGCGTCATACATGTAATTGTTTGAGACATTGTTGACACATTAATTGTCCCATTTCCGACTGAAAACCAATTCATCAAGACATTGCATTAGCTCTGGCACGTCTAATATATTCAAAGACTCGCTATTATAGAAACAAACTATTTAAAGAACCTATGATATACTCCTTGGAGTAATCGAAAATTTAGTATCCTTGACATTGTCATATGATGTTAGATAAGTTTGGCATATGCAACGTCTTCGCGTTATGAATACTAGGAACCGCAGAGGATTCACACATACGGAACAGCGTTTGCAATAAATAAATTGCACGCTTTTAGCAACGTAAAAGCATTTTACGAAAAATTCAAGATCATAATCGATTTCAATGGAATTACGATATCTAAGCTATATCAACATTACCTTTTAATTAGCGATATGAAAGATTCTTAGATCCTTTTAGAAAGTCGTACGCAATATTTACGAAACGTCAATCAAATCTGTATTTTCCTTTTTTTCTATACAACATTCATACAAGATCATAATCGATTTCAATGGAATTACGATATCTAAGCTATATCAACATTACGTTTTAATTAGCGATATGAAAGATCCTTAGATCCTTTTAGAAAGTCGTACGCAATATTTACGAAACGTCAATCAAATCTGTATTTTCCTTTTTTTTCTATACAACATTCATACAAGATCATAATCGATTTCAATGGAATTACGATATCTAAGCTATATCAACATTACGTTTTAATTAGCGATATGAAAGATCCTTAGATCCTTTTAGAAAGTCGTACGCAATATTTACGAAACGTCAATCAAATCTGTATTTTCCTTTTTTTTCTATACAACATTCATACAAGATCATAATCGATTTCAATGGAATTACGATATCTAAGCTATATCAACATTACGTTTTAATTAGCGATATGAAAGATCCTTAGATCCTTTTAGAAAGTCGTACGCAATATTTACGAAACGTCAATCAAATCTGTATTTTCCTTTTTTTTCTATACAACATTCATACAAGATCATAATCGATTTCAATGGAATTACGATATCTAAGCTATATCAACATTACGTTTTAATTAGCGATATGAAAGATCCTTAGATCCTTTTAGAAAGTCGTACGCAATATTTACGAAACGTCAATCAAATCTGTATTTTCCTTTTTTTTCTATACAACATTCATACAAGATCATAATCGATTTCAATGGAATTACGATATCTAAGCTATATCAACATTACGTTTTAATTAGCGATATGAAAGATCCTTAGATCCTTTTAGAAAGTCGTACGCAATATTTACGAAACGTCAATCAAATCTGTATTTTCCTTTTTTTTCTATACAACATTCATACAAGATCATAATCGATTTCAATGGAATTACGATATCTAAGCTATATCAACATTACGTTTTAATTAGCGATATGAAAGATCCTTAGATCCTTTTAGAAAGTCGTACGCAATATTTACGAAACGTCAATCAAATCTGTATTTTCCTTTTTTTCTATACAACATTCATACAAGATCATAATCGATTTCAATGGAATTACGATATCTAAGCTATATCAACATTACGTTTTAATTAGCGATATGAAAGATCCTTAGATCCTTTTAGAAAGTCGTACGCAATATTTACGAAACGTCAATCAAATCTGTATTTTCCTTTTTTTCTATACAACATTCATACAAGATCATAATCGATTTCAATGGAATTACGATATCTAAGCTATATCAACATTACGTTTTAATTAGCGATATGAAAGATCCTTAGATCCTTTTAGAAAGTCGTACGCAATATTTACGAAACGTCAATCAAATCTGTATTTTCCTTTTTTTCTATACAACATTCATACAAGATCATAATCGATTTCAATGGAATTACGATATCTAAGCTATATCAACATTACGTTTTAATTAGCGATATGAAAGATCCTTAGATCCTTTTAGAAAGTCGTACGCAATATTTACGAAACGTCAATCAAATCTGTATTTTCCTTTTTTTCTATACAGCATTCATACAAGATCATAATCGATTTCAATGGAATTACGATATCTAAGCTATATCAACATTACGTTTTAATTAGCGATATGAAAGATCCTTAGATTCTTTTAGAAATTCGTACGCAATATTTACGAAACGCCAATCAAATCTGTATTTCCCTTTTTTTTCTGTACAACATTCGCGTCGCAAGCGATTTCTACTCGGAAACAGCTCGATCAAGGTACAAATATTGCGAAGTAATAATTAAAAGCTACGTGTTTTATTTTTATACGTACGTGTTCGCCAATGTTATCGTTCGAACCAAACATACGTATCACTTCCCTCGACGTCAATAGTAATTCTGAAATTTATGCTCCGGTGAATGGCAAATCTAAAACAAAGAGACTGACGATACGAATATACAAAACATTGAAAACACTTCAGAATGGCCCAGATCGTTGCCCTGGCACGATGCTAGTTGCATTTCGATATCGATGTACAATCACGCTAATGGCGATGTTACAGCCAACCAAAACAGAACTGGTATCGCTCTGTTGGTCAATTTGGTCGTTTGGTCGTGGTGGAGGGAATCGTGACGAACTACCTGTGTCTATCCCATGTCACTAATCGCTTGCCTGCTTTCTAACACCCTTAAGAACCTAGACTGTAACTGTTTAGTTTTACAATCAGGAGAATGGAGGAAAACCACCATTGGTCGGGATACAGCTGATGGTACCGAAGCCGTCGAAGGATTATCGCTTCATGAAATGGAACTGGCCACTCATACGGAAAACATGCTTCTGGTCTCTGATGTCGGTGCTGGCTGCATGCGTAGCGCTCGTCATTGGTGTAATCGTCACGATGCCGAAGAAGTACGTATGTATACATATATGTACATACATATACGAAGAACAGGAGGCAGAAATATGACAAGACTGTTTCCCTTAATTAGCGAAATACCGCGACTATTTTTTTCTCGAATTTTTTAAGACTGAACTGTTGTAATTTGTTAAAGGAAGGTTTGTTTTCATTTCATTCCTTTTAATATTCATTCTCTTCTTAATTCTTATCTATAAATTCTAATCAGTTCTAGTTAGTTAGTTAGTTAGTTAGTTAAATATTGAAAGTAGCTTTTTATTCGTGCAAACGTTTGTTTAAAACTTCTGTCGAATTCAAAGATGCAAATTTTTGTTAAATGGCTGGAAATTCTATGAAGTTTTGTAGACGATTAAGGATATGTTTAATATCATAACTATAGTAACAGCGTATTTCGATTGTCAATAACCGAGGACGAAAAATATTTTTTATCCAGACTAAGAAATATGTATACATATGTATGTATGTAGCACGCATTTTCTACTTGTCCACTTCTGCGTGAATATAGTTCTCGATACTCGATTGTTTCATTTATTCGCGAACATACTACTTTACTAAAAAGTTAGATGATCAGAGTAATCAGAGTAAAAGATCGTTTTATATTTCCACAGGTGCGACCCTCCAGTTCAATGGTGGCAAGGTAGCGTCTTCTACGAAATATTCCCCGCATCGTTTCAAGATTCCTCGAAAGGAGGTGACGGTATCGGGGATCTTCGAGGCATAACGATGCGTCTGGATTATTTAAAGAAATTAGGCGTACGTGGGATCCGCTTAAATTCGATCTTCCCAGCAGCACACTATCCTGAATATTACACAAACATCGAGAACCTGACAGACCTGAATAAAGAATTAGGAACGTTGGATGATTTCGCCGTGCTTGTACACGAGACTCATCGTCGAAACATGAGCCTCGTTCTAGATCTGCCATTGTATCCCTTTGTAAAGTCTTTGTATAACGAAACTGTGCCCTCTGACAAACCGAATAAAACAGACAAAGCCGTACGTGAGAGAAGAGACGTTACCGAAACGACGATTCTGCAGGAGGTAACACCGACGACACCTTCCATGTCGCTGCAAGCGATTCGCGAAGCACTGTCCTCGGTGCCACCTTCTCTGGATACCCCGCAGCGTGATCCTCTCACGTCGAAACACGTGAACAACGTGTTAGAGAACGGCAACGTGACAGGGGCTATAAAAATTTGGTTGCAAAGGGGAGTCGATGGGTTTTACTTGAAAGGACTGGAACATTACGTGGACGAAGGTTCCTTTGCCAGCAGCTTGAAACACTGGAAGTCCATCGTAGGCTCTGAGAGAATACTTATTTGTCACGTGGATGCTTTGAACGCTGCCAAATTGGTTGCAGCGAAAAACTCTATTTTAATGAATATGGATCTTGTGGATGTTACGTTGCGCGTGGCGAATGGCACGAAAGAGATCAAGCGCCAAGTAGAGCATATTACAAAAGGTGTGTTGTTTAAAAAGCCGGGTTATCCTTGGATACACTGGTCCATAGGCGGCGTGGACTTGAAACGAATAGCCTCTACCATTAACGTGAAGAATGCTACCCATGCTATGACTTTGTTAGGGATGATGCTTCCGGGAACGTCCAGTATATTCTATGGTGACGAGGTATAAATTTAGATATAATATGAATGTAGTATCTGTAATATATACCGATAAGATGTTTTAAGAAGTCCGGGAACTTGGAGAAGCGTATATTATTTCTTAAAAATAACTAAATATATAAAAAAACCTATAAGGGATAAGTCTCATTTTCGTTGCTTATGGAACAATTTTACAAATATGTTGTCGCGTAATCTTACGTCATGAAACTTGTACTTTCACTGACGATTAAACATAAACTTTCTTCACACTCTTGATAATTGAAAAGATATTTTCTGTCGTAATATGAAAATATCGAAAATATGAAAATTTGACTTGTCTTAGCATTCGTATCTTTTGCGTCATTTAGCAGGTTCTTTCTGTTCTTAGCTATTTTACATCGACTTCTTTTGTTTTTTAATTATAAAACGACATTAAAATCAATCGTACTTTTTTCTCTGTGATCTTTGTACAATATGATAATGTTTGATAATCTTGGACGATTTTAAACGACGATTTTTACAAATCTGATTAATGTTCAGATAGGTATGTTGGACTGTGAATGCAAAGATCATAAGGATCTTGCTCACGTGCACAACTTAGCTCCTATGTATTGGGAGGAAATCGGCGGTTCTGAGATTAAGTTTACATCCGGCGGTGTCACGGCTTGGCTTCCGGAATCTAGGAAACCGTTGGAGACTAGCTTGACTGGAACCATCGCTAAAATGGCTTCTCTCAGATCGGAAACTACGCCAATCTATGTTAAAGCGGTGCTAAAGGAGAATCAGGTGCTGGCAAACTGTAATATCAGGTAAAATTAATTTTATAATCAAGGTTTTAATGTAATTTTTCAAATTTTATGTCTTATATTCGAGTCAGTTGAATATCAGTTCAGTTTGTTTCTTTTATTCCGTCTATATTATTTATAAAAAATGATTTTCTACGTGATTTTTTGATAAAGTTGTTCAGGAAATTTCAACAAGCACCGAGATTTACAATGTATTTTTTAACTATAATTTTACTTAATTTTATATTTTATTATAAGTTTACTTTTTAATTTACGATATAATAATCGTTCGTAAACAAATTTCTTAATGTAAAATTCTTTCTTCTCACAGGTATGCAGAAGATGAAATGATCGTGGTAGAACGATGGTATCCACGACGAAACTCTTACGTGTTTTTAGCGAACCTGGGCAACCAAACGCAAACAAAGGATTTATCCTTCCTTTATTACGGTGGTCATGTGGTAGTCGGGCCATCGTATAGATTAAACAAAGACGTATATTTCAAAGAACTTATCATACCTCCGGGAGAAGCTTTCGTTATAAAGCTTGATAAATGAAGATTTGTTACTGAATTAAAGATCAATGCAGCGTTCATTTTATATGTACGATCAAGATTTTAGCATCTTTGATTAATATGGTCAGCGTGAATTTGTGATATTTTATTTGAAGGACATCGTTGACGTTGCGAACGTTGTACAACGAATGTTTAGATATGTTTAGAAAGTTCCTATTAATAAATAAATCGATTAGGAACCACAGTGTCCAACAAAGGAAGAACGATTTGGCGAAAAAATAAATAGGGTATATATGGTGTGGAAAGGAAGAAGAAAAAGAGAAGTTTGTACGGTCTCAACAATTACATATACATACACGGGTAAAATGTGCTTAGACACAAAATCAAAAGCTCACGATAAAAATCAAATCCTATATTGTTAACTTTAATCTGGTTGGTGATAATGAAGAAGCACAACGAAACGATTGCGCATTTCACATTCCAAAAAAAGACAAATCATTTCACGTTTGCCTGTGTTCATTTTAATGATCAACGTCTAGGACGAGATTACTTCGCTGATTTGTATATCTTTTAATCATTTTGATAATAAAGCCAAAGATGCTTGCGGTTCGATTGATTATATTCTCAGTCATAAGGCGAATTCGATATTAAAGTTGATATACTTCATAACTTACAGATTACAGGAAATTTATTCGTGTCACTGGGTACGATTTTAAATTTTTAGATCGATCTAAAATATAGCTAATATTTTTATATAACGAATTTTATCGCGTGTAAAGAATTGCTCGCAATGTGTAATTTTCACTTCTTTTATAATCATTTTGGTACTAATCGAGTGATATTTTATCGATGCGTAAATTTAAACGGTGCTGACGCAGAAACAATCCTTTTTGTATTCTTATTCAATATTATGTGACACGTCATGTGTTTTCGTGACATGAATTTTATAAGTTACACGTGACTTTATGTAAACGTATAATTCGATCGAAATTTCGTAATAGTATGTATTATGAAGGAAATACAATATTTGTTATCTATAGTGTATCCTATGTATTCAAATTTTTACTTTAACAAAGTTCGATTTTGATGTGGATATTAATATTCGAAAATAAAACAGAAAATTTTATCTCATAATTTTTTAATTTTGCTAATTAATTTATTTTCCAATTGTAACGATAGTGAAATTAATAAAAAATGTACATTTGAAACGTTGAGCTACAGTCGACTTGATTTGTATTGAGCGCCATTTATATTGAGCGCCACCTATATGGAGCGCCACTTGTACCGAGCCTTTCTCGCTAGTGCTCGCTTTTGCTACCTGTTTCTATATAAGCGATTTTCAAACCACAGTTTAGCGAAGCGTTCCTTCGAGCTACACCGCGGAGCCACAATCGGAGTTCTTAGTAACTTTCATGCTCTGAGGAAAGTCCCTGGACCGTGGGCAGAAAGTGCCGTAGCGCTATCTGCTGCTAGCCTCCTGTCGTCTTTCTCGTCTTTGGGATAGGAAGCTTCGGCAGATCCTTTCGAGTTAGGGCGGGAGTGTATTGGTCAAATAAAAGTAATGTGTTAGAGACGAAAATTCTATAATTTAGAATTCCGTGTCCAACTAAACAGGGCTCATAACGAAGGGAAGCTTTCTTTTTTTCGCTTTTTTTTCTTTATAATATTTAAATTATTTAACCAGTTAGTTGTTGCGATCTCTTTGAAAATTTTAAAAAGTGTGTACCTAAAATATGTTGCAAAAAATAAGCGACGACGAGTATGCTTGTAAAAAAACAGTTAACTGGTTAAATATATCTCATATTTAATAACCATACCATAATTAAAATAATAAAGATAAAAATTATTGTTGCAAAATTTTATTGATATTATACTTTTGTTACAAAAAGATCGTCAAACTGTAATTGGCTAAATAGTCGGTACATAATACCTGTGTAAGCACCGTACTTTCAAAATTTGCATCGTTACACTTAGCAAAAACTATTACTTTGGTTCGAAAATATAAGTTGGACGTACGAAAAAATTTCGCTTAAATATGTAGTATATCATTCGAAAGTTACTAAAGTCTGGTCATCATCAGGACACCGCTTCGTTGTTCTTATAAAAACACTGGAAGATCGATATATGTATTAAATTTTGTTTATTCCATTTGCTTGAATTTTCTTAAATTCGAAGAATGTTTTATCACTTACGTTCTTTGCCACTTCTGACAGACTGTTCGCCATTGCAGCACCTGTTTGTTGCACCATATTGTAAAAATATCCTTTCTTTTGCAGTAAAACATACGGATGATCATATTCCTAAAAAATTAACATTAGAAGACAAATCTATCACATTTCTTAGAAATAATAATCAAACGATTTTTTAAATAACTCAACTTATAATTACTTACTACTAGACAACCCTGATCCATCACAAGTATCTTATCGCTATCCATTATGGTATTTAATCTGTGCGCTATAGTAATGACAGTGCAATCCACAAATTTCTTTCTGACCGTCTGTTGAATCAGGGAATCAGTCTGTGGATCAACGTTAGCAGTAGCTTCATCGAGTACCATAATTTTATTATTTCGAATGAGTGCTCGAACAAGGCATAATAATTGACGTTGTCCAACGCTGAAATTTGAACCCTCTTCCGATACTTTACTGTTCAAACCTGCCGCCATCTCTGAGATCGTTTCTCTTATTTCTACTTCCCCTAAAGCCTCCCATAAAACGTTATCAGAATATTCATCGAAAGGATCTAGATTTCGTCGAAGACTACCTCCGAATAGAACTGGTTCCTGAGGTATAATACTGATTTTCGAACGAAAGTCATGCAATGCAATTTCATTCGTAGGTATACCATCTATAATTATTTCTCCCTCTATGTATGCTAACCGAAAAAGAGCGCTGATTAAGGATGTTTTGCCAGCACCGGTTCTTCCAACAACTCCCACTTTTTCTTTAGGTTTGATCACGAAATTGATACCATTTAAAACATAAGTACTTTTAGGGCCGTATTTTAATTTCACGCCTCTGAATTCGACCAGACCTTTCGTGGGCCATTCTTCCGGCGGTTTCTTTTCCGGTATACTATCCAAGAATGGCTCTTCTTCCAGCTTACTGTACTCCAACACTCTTTCGACAGAAGTCATTTGATTCTCCAGTTCACCGGTTTGTCTTATACCCCACTGTAAAATTCCAACGACTGCGCTAACCTGCGTGATTACTAAACCGATATCCCCGGCAATAGCGAGATCTTCGAATACGAAAAACATGATGGTGATCACCGCTATGTAAATCAAACAAAATGTCTCGATATAAAGACCGAAAGCTCGCGAAAGAGAGATGAATATAAACCACGTTGATGTGTGAAGATCCTGATGATTGTCAAACTCCGTGGTTACTATCTTTTCAGCTTTGAATGCTCTGATTGTCGTTAAGCCTTGCAAAGTGGCACCCACATGATCGAATACTGGTGAACGGGCTAAAAAATATTCCTATTAATCGTCTTAAACGTTGACGGACGAGATCGAGAAATTCACAGAAAGTTTATAAAATTAATCGCTCTTATTAATGACGTGGATACTTACTTGTACCCTCCATTCGTTTAACAGCGCGACTAGTTGAAATGTACACGACTCGCATATAGTAAAAAAGAACTATAATAACGCAAGTCGGTATCAACAACCACGCGCTCACTGTACCAAGGATCACTATGGTCCCCATAAAATTTAGAAACATTATGATAACATCGAACATGGTAAAAGGCATTTTCTTATCGATAATACCAATGTCTTTAGAAAACCTTGAAACGAAAATAAAATTATCAATTAATTATCGATCTCACAAGTAACGTGTGTAGTAAGCAAGATGTCGCGAACGTGTAAATTTCTACCTGTTTAATATTCGACCAGCGGGATTCGTGTTGTAAAAGTACATCACAGCACGTACGATACTACGGAACATCTGTGCGTGTAGATTTTTCGAGGCGCGCATGCAAACTGCATAATATGTAAACGTCTGTACGACGTAGATACAAGCAATGCCCATAGTTAGACCGCTATAAATATAAATAATTTCATTGCGAGACAATGGTCCGGACCATTGAAAATCCATCGTGCCATTATCGCTTCTAACCCACGATGCCATCTCCGTGTTTACCCAAAATGCGACCAGATAGTCGCTGCCACTGGCTATCGATTGGCTCGATATAAACATAATCGTCATCAGAAGAACCAGAAATATATTTCTACTTGCTTTCCAGTAGGAGAAGAAAACATTGCTAGACATTTTGCCCTTCGACCTGGTTTCCGCCACCTCGACAGGTTCTTGTTCCGCGACTGCGTCTTCCTTTTTCGTTTCTCCCATCGTTCGCTTCTTCTCTATTTTGGTTTCAGTTTCGCCAAATTCTTCTTTATCCTCAATCTCTTCGAAGACCTTCATGGAATCTAAATTCATACTTTGCAACTCCTCGAAACTCCCTTTCGCTTGAATGCTACCATTGTTCATTACGATTATCTGATCAGCGGCTTTCAAGTATTGTATCTGGTGAGTGACTAGGATTATAGTTTTGCCTTTGAGAAAACCATGTATACATTCATCCACAATGCGACTACCGACATGCGTATCGACTGCCGATAAAGGATCGTCCAGAAGATAAATATCGGCGTCAGTGTATAACGCTCGCGCTAAATTAATTCGAGCTCGTTGACCGCCGCTTAAATTGATTCCCCTTTCCCCGGCCATGGTTCTGTCTTTATGCGTAAATAGATCTATATCGCGTGTCAATTGACACACACGAATCACTTCGTTGTAACGAGCTTCATTCATCGACTGTCCAAAGAGAATATTCTGTCTGATAGAGGAAGCGAAGATCCATGGTCGTTGATCGGCGAAACTTATTTTCCCGCTAGTTTCTAGCACTCCTTCTGTCAATGATAATTCACGAAGTATTACTTGCAACAAACTGCTCTTTCCTGAGCCTATCTGTCCGATCACTGCTATAAAGCTACCAGCTTGTACTGTTAGATGGATGTTTTGCAATGTGTCATTGTCTCGAGAGTTATCCCATCTGGCAGTGACATTTTTTAAGTAAATAGGAACGGATTGTGTAGCTACTTGATTCTGAACTTTCTGTGGCACAGAGATTTCAGGATACGTCATGAATTTCTCGAGTCGTCTGATAGACACCAATGCTTCCGCTAATTGATGAACACCTGTGCAGATCGCAATATCGTGATCATATCGAATTTCTCTTAAAATTTATTTAATAAAATACAGATTATAAACGTGCGGACTAAATCTCGATTAATAACAAATCTCTGTATGACAATTGTTACATAGCATCGTATAGCACGATGAAATTGATATCACTGCTGTTAGATATTATTGAAAATAATTAACATTATTGATAAATAATTATCGAAACATTTCGTAGGAAACTGAAAGAAATGCGAGGATATTTAACCCTTTCGCTTCGGCAGTCCAGTCCGCCGAAGTACTGTCACCGAACGGAAGCGCGCGCCAGAAATGCGCACAGTGTGCGTGGTTGCTGTATATACGTTTTCCTAAGTCTTAAATAATAATTCTTGTAAGAACCGTATATGAAATATCGTTTCACTGTTAATGGATTCAACAGATTTTTTAGCACGAAACAGTATACGATCGTTTGGATGTTTGAAACATATTGCGTAAAACGTTTTGATGTACTTTCAACACTGAGTAACTTTTAAGAAGTGATTAATCCAATATATCAATAAAATCAACAGAAAATGTTCTGCCGATAAAAATATATTATCGACTACAGATGGCATTGGTGTATGCCGAATGTATGGGGTGCCGAACCCAGGATTCGTCGCACAGGCGCCGCCTATAAGCTGCACCCGAAGCGAAAGGGTTAAAGAAACAAATATTTTATCTGAATATCAGAAGGTAACTTACTTATAGCAAAACCGGTAGTCATAGAATCTCGTAGAATAGTGTAAAATGCTGTAGTCATAAATACTTTTTCAGCATCCACATTATTCCCAGTTAAAACATAAGTTAATATGGCAATAAATAATCCGACTCGAGGAAAGTACATATCAAGCGTTAAACCAATTTGTTCTACGATCGAATACTTCTTTATCACGTCCACTTC